AGTAAATCATTTCCTTGTTGAACTTAAAACCTTATAGGCACAAGCGTTCTTGGACAGATGTGGAAAGAGGCACTTGTTTGGGGACTTGATCCTGTCGGCCTGCTCAAATGAATGTTTGCATGTGTGTGTGTGTGTCACTGCTCAGATGCGCAGGGTGAAGGTCCCCAGATGTTTTATGTAAAGTTGAAAACCATAAACTCTGATAGGTATTAACTCGTCAAAAGCATAAACAAATTGTTGTTGGGTTGGTTGGCCTTCTAATGATGCATATATAATACATCATATAATGCACTCTTGCCAGACAGTTTTAATATGATCATGCAAAGTTGATATTAAATTACAACATCATGATTTTAAGATTGAAGCGTTAATGCCAAGGTCAGGTATTTAAAACTCCTCTGCGTCCTGCACAGGATAACTGATCAATATTATTTTCATTATTTCTCTCCCAGTAAACAAAGCTCATAATTCCAGGATATTTTCCAGTCCAGCTGTGAGTGTGGAGATCAGAGCCGCTTAATCCCGTATAGATCTGAAGTTGTAAACTAGCTCAAGATCTCGGTGATACTTTGTCTCGATGCTGCCACTTTAACAAAATACATTGCATGACTACCATTGTTATTATTAGCTGGTTGGGTGAATGTGCTGCTGTTGATGCATGTGAATATCTAAGTCAGAATTCATTTGATGCTGTTGTTGAGATGTAGGCCAGTGTTTAACATATATGTTTTGGTTCAGTTTTAAGTTTACTGTAAATGCGACAGGGGCATAGTTGAATTGGTGTTTGTGCATTTTCAGGTCTATTCTTGGAGGGAGCTGTAAAGATCATAGTGAATAAGTTAAAACTAGTTTTCAAAGAGTCTTTATTTTTTAGGAATTGTTTTTGAAGTAATGAATAAAGCCCAATTGATGTGTTAATAGTTAAGCTCCACAATTTAACGGCTGGCTAATAATATAAACCAATATGAGTCTTTCACAGACATTTCAGCAATATGCTAATATTTTGTGTGTATTTATTAATTCAAGTTCGACATATTTTGTTGAATTTTTTTTTATTCATAATTGTTTATAATAAAGTTTATGGTTAAACTGTAAAATATCAAGCATCTGTAACGTTTCCTTTTTTGTTAAGGGTTTGATAACAATATCTTATATTTATCAGCCTCCAAAGATCTGTATCAGTCGGGTTCAATTAATTATAAATTACTGAAATATAAAAACGACTGAGACACAAAAACTAGATAAATGGATTATTTAGAAATACATGTACTGGGTTGCTTTTATATTTATGCTCCTCACAATCCTTGAACATGCAAACCAAAGTAAAATGCAACAAAAGGTTTAAAATAACCACTCTATCTTTTCTTGTAAATACAGAGTTATTTCCATCATCAGACAAGTGTCCTGTGTGTATTTCCAGAGTTTCAGTCAGCCTGTCTGCTACCTCAGAATAACCCTGACAGGTTCTACATAAGACCACAGACCTCTCTGTTACTGGGGCAGCCACCACTATTATTAAGTTCAAGTTACTAGGCACTGTTATTATTGGCACTTCTCCTATTAATAGAGAGAACTGCTAAAAATTGAGCAGCGCTTGTCCTGGGCGTGTGTCGATGCCTCAGACCAGAGCTGTAGATAAACACACTTGGCCTCGGCAGACGTCTCCGTGTGGCAGCCATGTTAACTCTGTCATCATCTGAGCTGCAGCTTCTAGATTCTGCCACATCCTGAATATTTCTGTTTTTTTATTTGGAGCTCAGCATGGGGATGATGTGGGAGGATGAAGTTAGACTCTCACTGGGTCTGACCAGTGGACACGGGGCAGAAACAGGCAGCTTTGGCTGAGCAGGGCTGTGGGTGTGCTGCCATGGCCGAGGCAGAACACCAGACTGGTTGGCTCCTTAATCGCGTCTGTGTGTTTTTATATGAATATCTGTGTCAGTGTGCGTTTGTGAGGAGATATTCACATGGGCGTCTCTTTGTTCCCCGAGCTGTGTGTCCTTCTCTGTTTCTCTTTGAGTCTCATACTGACACTCTCTCCTCTTCCCTGAGTCAGTGTCTGTTTCCTGTCTGTCTGTCTGTCTGTCTCTGTCTGTCGAGTACAGTACCCTCTGCGGACCCAGCCCCCTGTTTCTCTCAGTGTGCTACCTGCAGCCCTCCTGTCACATTTCACCCCTGCCTGCCACATTCCTAGTTATCTCAGAGGGGGTTACATACCTTTGCCCCAAGAGGCAGCTACTAGGGAGCGTCTTGGCTTTCTAGTTGTGAGAGCCGCGAGCAGGCAGATCAGTCAAAACAGACGGCCGTGAAGGTATCAAACACGGGGTGAGAAATGTGTCTGTGTTTTCAGACACGTGAGCAGGGACAGAGTCTAAAACAGTAAATCCCAACTATTTAAACTTTTGAAACTTTACATTAAAAAAAAAAATATATATCATTTTTTATAGTTATAGTCAGATAAAGTTACATAATTCATAACTAGCATTGCACTTATTAGAGTGTCCGACAGAAAGTGTGAAAAATTCCTGGGCCCCTGATCTGCAACCACACCAAAAATTGAATTAGTTCTTTCCTGACCTTGTCACATCCCCCCACCAAGTTTCGTGGAAATTGTGGAGCTGTTTTCATGTAAACTTGCTCACAAACAAATAAACAGGGATGAAAACAGGAACTCCTTGGCAGACGTAATAATAATAACACTGTCTTCACTTCACAATAGAGCTTTGTGAATTGAGCTGAGCTGAACTTGATTTTATTGTTGAATTGATCAGGGTTACACGAGGAGAAAGCTTGTGTCATTAACAGTCTCTCTGTCGCAGGTATTTTATACGTTAATGTTTAAAAACAAGATACGTGATCATATAGATTTCCAGTGTTATTTACTTGGTGATTGTATTAGAACCTCATGAGTTTGAGAGTTTAAGTTTGTTACTAATTCAGCAGCTGTAGAATTCCAGCTCCAGTCAGACGATTCCTTCACTGCTCATGTGCTGCTGCTTCAACCTTCAGAGGAACCGTGGTGGGAGAAAGCCTGCAGCACTCAGGTCTGATCGATGCAGGCCAGTGGGACACTTATGATAGTTGCCGCTGTGGCTCAAAGATAATCACCAAATTCCTCCCAGTGTAGCACCACTCCTCTTTCCACTGCCGCAGCACAACCACTCCTGCTCTTATTCCTCCATACTGTTTTTCTGTACATCTGAAAGTACTGTGAGGACAGCTGGGACATTTAAAACCTCCATGTTTGTCAGGAACCCACATGAAGGAGGAGGGATTATTCGTTATTTGGTTTTATTCTCTATTCTCAAGCTTCTTTGGCCACAACGCGAATGTTTCCCCCTCTGATGCTCATGTAGCAGTAGCCTGCAGTCGTGTCGTCTTTCCCGTTAGTGTGAGCGCCGACTTGTTGCAGCACACGCCTGCAGCAGGTGACCCTGATACAGTCATCATGAAAACATCAGGGCGACTCACACACCTTGAAAAGCAACAGCAACGAAGGCCAGTTCATCGGAATAATTAACACGCATTTGGGTTGGAGCTCTGCTAATCTGAAGCCACTGGAGGCCCCCACACACACACACACACACACACACACACACACACACACACACACACACACACACACACACCTCTCCTTCTGTGCAAGTACTACTACAGCGGCTCCATTGATGAGGCTTCTCTGGTCTGCTGGTGACTCAGACTGCCTCAGATCTCACTGTGAATTAGAACACACGCCCCCTGGTGGCCGTTTAGAGACCCTTATCCTCCATTTTTCTGTGTGAGAATATTAACACAACTATTTTTGCTTTGATTACAAAACATGACAAATGGAAAAGGACATGTTTACTGTGTTGTAGTGAATATTTTTATAAATTGCTAAGTTTTATTAGTTGGCTGATTTCACAGCAGCTGAGATCTAACCTGAGTTTTTTTTTTTCTCTTTTTGTTTTGCAGCTTCTTAGACAGGATCGATGTGGTCCGGCAGACTGACTACACACCCACTGATCAGGTGAGATGTTCATCACCTGCAGTCGTTGAATCACTGAATCACTCTGTATCATTAACACAAATCTAACTACATCTGTCCACTGTAGTGTTGAGACAATAAATCATTTAATCGATTAGTCAGATAGATGAAAAATAATTCCAGACGACAAAGCACTCTTATTCCAGCTTTTATAAGCGGAACAGATAATTCAGTTGAATCTCTAAAGACTCATTTCATTTGTTGTGTTGGGATTCTTTAACTTATTCTCTTCTTTTCTGTTTTTTTTGCAGGACCTGTTGAGATGCAGAGTACTGACATCTGGGATCTTTGAGACGAGATTTCAAATAGACAAAGTCAATTTCCAGTGAGATGAGATCAAATTTATTTTAAGATAAAGAACTTCCATACTAATGTTTACAGTATGCAAGACACTGATTCTACAATGGAGCATAATAATTCATATACTCATAAATCTCTCCACGATACTTTGTCTACTACCACAGTTAATTGATTTAAATTTTCCATCGTAAATTAAACTTTAACCTTCCTCTGTCTCGCAGTATGTTTGATGTTGGAGGTCAGAGGGATGAACGTAGAAAATGGATCCAGTGTTTTAACGGTAGGATGTTTGTTGCTTCTAATGCTTTATTGTAATAATGAAACTCATAATTGACTCAGTATTATTCATTAGACAATTGTTTCTCGTGTGTGTATCTTTTTGTTTAAACTCCAAGTCAAATGTATGCTGTTGTTAAACCCCTTCTCTTTCGTGCGTGTGTGCGATGCAGATGTGACAGCTATCATCTTTGTGGTGGCGAGTAGCAGCTACAACATGGTGATCAGAGAAGACAATCAGACCAACAGACTACAGGAAGCCCTCAACCTTTTCAAGAACATCTGGAACAACAGGTCAGAGATTTTGTAGGAATCAAATGTGAAACAAATGGCACTTTTCTCCATCTGTTCAACACGGGGAGACAAAAGGAGGAAATTAAGCTCATTTAAAAACTACACTCATCAAATACATACAGCAATCACAAAGACCTCTATACAAAATCTGAATTTTTATATGTATTGTCGGACCTTAAATGAATGTGCAAAGAAATCTTGCGCTGAGCTCGTTCTGCATTTCCCTCGACAGGTGGCTACGGACCATCTCGGTAATCCTCTTCCTTAACAAACAGGACCTGCTCGCTGAGAAGGTTTTGGCAGGGAAGTCTAAAATAGAAGAGTATTTCCCGGAGTTTGCACGCTACACTACACCTGATGATGGTAAGAGGTTGACGCTGATGGTTCAATGCAGATAATGAGCCAGGTTTATTTAAGATACAATGTTATAAATAGTCTGAAAGTCAAAAAGACAGACAGATAGAAACAAAAAACTGAAATGAATTATCTTGACATAAATTATAGTTAATGCAGAGTTACTACAGATATTTGCTCATACTCCTGTCTTGACCAGATTTCTTGTTTTCCAACAGCAATACCAGAGCTAGGTGAGGATCCTCGCGTCACAAGGGCAAAGTACTTTATCCGGGACGAGTTTCTGGTACGTTCACACCTCATGTTTTACTTTTTTTTTTATTTTATTATGATTTGTTTCCTTGTGTATATAAAATAGCATGAAGACCAAACCTGAAATGTACTATTTTATTAACGACATCCTCTTTAGCAGCTGATTTATATGGCTCTCACTTCACTACACTTCTATCCTCTATTTGACTTTTAAGAAAAAGATTTTCCTCGTTATTTAGTTAAAAATCTGAAGATAAATTGGACTCAATTTTCAGCAGTAAAAAGATTTCAACTTTGGAACGTGACGGGTGGTGCTGATGAAAGGTTGATGAGTTCATCTCACACTAACTTCTCTTTGCCTGTGTGTCTCCTGCAGAGGATCAGCACAGCCAGCGGGGACGGCCGGCATTACTGTTACCCCCACTTCACCTGTGCGGTCGACACAGAAAACATCCGCCGCGTCTTCAATGACTGTCGCGACATCATACAGAGGATGCACCTACGGCAGTACGAGCTCTTGTGATGGGGAAGCGCCGCCCGGTCGACTTATTTACCTACCGTCCTACCTATCTTCCCCCAAAACCCCCCACCCACCACCAACACGACCAGTTAGCCAATCACCCCCCTCCCCACCTCCCCCCTCCCCTTCCACCAACTTCACCAAACGACTGAGCGAACAAGCGAGCGACTGACCGCCTGCCCTCCCCTCCCCTCCACCCCGATACAACTCCTCCTGCTAACACAGTTTCAGAAAAACCCAGCCGTGGAAAGATGTTTTGTTTTTATGGATTCACCAACAAAAGTTTCATCGACTATTATTCAGGACTGATTCCTGTACTCAGCCACACTTCGACCCATGAAAGAGGGTCGAGACTGGAATCTTTGTGCAGGCTATTCTTCCTTTTAGCTCTCTCTCAGATTTATGAACACACACTCGCAGGTACACACAAATACACACACACAAAATGACAGCATTAGACATTCAGAGGCCCTTAAATAGGTCTCATATCGCACACACACACACACACACACACACACA